GCGGGGGGGGGAGGAAGAAGAACACGAATGAATCGAACCAAACCCGGTTCCCAATTGTGGTGACATCAACATACGACCGCCTCAGCGTACAGCTGAGTAATTGATTAGCTTCCCCGAATCTCTCTCTCTCTCGCGCGCTGAACTTGCTGGCACTGACAACACCGAGATTTTGTCAATCAGCGATAAATTGTTTCCGTCTCTTTTCATGATAAATTTCACGTAAGCCAGGTTCGTATCGTTCACAGATTAGATGCTTCATTGCAGCTTTGTATGCCGAGAGATAGAGAACTCGGAACGGTCTATTTTGCGCAAATCAAGAGAACGAACGGATATTTTTCGTTACCAAACAGATAGAGCAAAAAAGACGGGGAACAGGATAAAAAGGGGATGTCGGTGTTCGAACACCGCTGTCCACGCAGTATCACTCGAGTTTGCTGAGGCTAGTCGTAAAGTTGTAGATAGTCGCGGTCGTCCAATGGAGCAAATGGTCGATATCCATAGATTACGTTGGTTGGGGCATGTGTTACGCATGTTATCAAATAGGTTGACACGGCAAGCAATATTTGCCGGTAGTGGGTGGAAAAAGGTCCAGAGTGGTCAAGCTAAGACCTGGTATGAGGGTATGAAAACCCTAACCAGGAGACTGGGTCATATAGGTCCCCTTAGGCTCCCTGGATGGGGACCCTGAGATCATGGTCACCGGTGGTTAGAGATACTGAGCAATATGGCTGAGTATCGTAAACAGTAACACACATGCATCTCCTCATTATTCTTGTAATATCAGGCTAGGCGAATTCTCTATCTTCTGATTAAACTTGTTCTCAACATTCCAATCTTCATTCTGTTCTGTTATCCAAATTGGCGGTCAAAAGATAGCAACCAAAACCGACGCATGGAAATGCATAGTTACAAGTTCTAAAAGCTGAAACTGCCAGGAAGATTTGTAGAAAGAACATGATAAAAGAAGTGTCGCAATTTCCTAGATGGATACTTGCACGCATGGGTATTCGTAGAGTCTGGTTAATGAAATTATACAGTCCGATGACATTAATTCAAAGAAAATAATATTTAACAAAAAAATCATTTTTCTTTATCTTTTCATGTTTCTTGTTCAAGATCACGTAGGGATTATCCAACGCAGTAGATAGCACGTGTGTTTGCAATGGGTGAGCAATAAAGCGCCCCCCATGCAGCCGTTTCACTCTCTACACTCACTCTTACTTCTTCTGCGCCAGTTCACATCTCGCATCACCAGCCCAGGTGATGACATCTTTAGTGCCTGTCTCTGATCTCGTATACATCAACAGTTTGGTTTCTACTATCATTAACCATTCACCTTCTTGTGGTAGCTTTGGTTGCTGTCTTTTGGCTGACTTTTTGAACGAAGAAGTAGAGGGCAGATTGGAAAGCACTATCTATGTCAAGATAGCTAACCGAGGTAGATTAAGGTTGTGAGTATGTTGAGTACATAAATGCACGATCGCCCATCTTTACGTCGACCAACCATATCCCTCAGCGTCTCTGGTCATTGGTGTCGGTGATCTCAAGGCCCGCATCCAAGAAGCCTTTATGAGGAAATTTCCTAAAAACGGCTTTCATACCCTCATTCCAGGTTTTAGGTTGATCGTCTTTGACTTTGTCCAAAGGGATTCGTGAACACCACTGGGTGGGTGAACCCCAGAACGATCTAGTCACCTACCGCTACATTTGCCTTACGTCTACTTGTAGCAAATCACCCTGATAATGTAACTGCTATATTCTGCCCTTCTAGTCGGCTATCAAGACGGGTTCGCCGTCCGTTGAATGCTATCCAAAGCAGTGGCAATGGAACTTCGTCCACACCTCTTTATGTGTGCCTAAAAACGATTTGTGTGCACTTAGCCTCTTGTCACTCACCTCCACACAACTCATCCCAGATAATGTGTATGACGGCGTTATATATAACATATATATTGACACACATATATTGAAGGTATCATATAATGTTATATTATATCATTATATATAAATTATGTTGTATATATATATATATATTATATCATTAAATTATAAGTGCTTTATTATTTTACAACTGATGTAGTCGTCGTCGAAATCGAGAAATCGATGATTCGGTTGGTATTCGATTAATAGAAGCGAAAACCTTAGTACAGGTATATTGCGTTTGATCTTGGGACATATCACGTCCAATCCTATAAATGAGATCCGAAACAATTTCTATTGGAAGGAAGAAATGTGATGAACATCAGAGTGTTGCACTAGGTTTTGATCCATACCTCTGTTGTCCATACCGAATCATATACAGACGATCGGCATCTCCCTCTGGCCGATTGATTTATTAGTTTTTCAATCAGCTTGTTATGCCCGAAACAGTGGGAAAGTGTGAGCTTGATGTAAACCCACCCACTCCGCTGGTACACGACAGAAAATTGCGTGCATTCTAATGGAGCTCTTCTTAAGCATTTTCCTCACATTGCTTCTAAGTCCTTATCCTGTGAATTTCAGAGACGGTGTATATATTGATGATTAAAATTACAGTTCCAGACTGTTCACTCTTGGATGTTTGGAACAAATGAGTTCATTCTCGTCTTTTTATCTTCCTCCCTATGGTTTACGGAACCAATAGCGAACGTGCCGTTAGCACTCCGTCCATTCACCAGTCTGATGTGCCCCGGCGAAAACGCAGTTGTCACGCGTTTGTTCCACGTCAATTCGATCCGCTCGGTTCCAATACCCTGCCTGGAGCGCGACTAAAATCGCAGATATCCGACGGTATCTTGGATCTCTCAGCCAGTCGTACGTTCCCCAGACGACCTGATTTGGATGAGGCTGGTGGTAAACGTTTGCAGAAAGAGAACGTGGAAGTGAATCATGGTCCGGACGGGACCTCGACTCCGTCACCCACCACTTCAACGAAAGGTACGTCCGTCCGTGTGTGTGTGGGTGTGTTGCCGGACGGGAATTTCTGTCCTTTCTGACAGTTCGTATTGACCATCCTATCATGTGTATTGGTAAGATAGGCATAGTTCCGGGTCGATGTACTCAAATTATTTGCTTGGATGTGTTTGTTCGTGTTGGAAATTGATTTACCATGTGCGGGAGATCAACGATTAACCTTTCTCCCCTTACGGGGGAGGGGAGGGCACGGAGACACGTCGCTGTTGAAAGCACGTTTTTCTGACAGCTTGTTACTGCGAGGTGAAGGGAGCCCAGTAGTCAAGATCGTGATGTGTTTTCATCCCCAGTGTATCACGCTCATTTCCGGTGTCTTATCAATTATAGAGTAATATAATAATGAGTATGAACAATATAATGTATAGAATTTCATTACTCTTATAATTTAAAACCTGATCGAAACTGTCCTCTCTACATCCTGACTATGTAACCACATGCATTTCACGAATCTGATGGGGCAGCCGTAAGGGCAATGCTGAGGTTAGGTGAAGAATTTTAGGTAATTGCAGCCGTCCACTGGACCTCCATAGATTACTTTGGTTGGGGCATGTGTTATACACATGTCACCAGGTAGTTGACCACGGAGAGCAATGCTCACCGTGGCAGGTAATGGGTGGAACAAAGCCAAGATTGATCGAACGAAGCCCTGGCGTGAGCTATGAAACTCGTAGCCAGAAAACTTGGTCATATAGGTCCCACTAGGCTTCCTGGGGATGGTGATCTCGGAGTGATCGTAACCGATGGTTAGAGACACAGCGATACCGCTGAGTGTCTTAAACAGTGGCATTTGTGCATCTCAATTTTTTTAAAGCAATATTCTATTGATGTTCTCAATTTTCTCTTCGACTCTACTTCAAACCTTTCTGTTTTTCTCCTACTGTGGTCCCAATGGGCCGCCGACAGACAACAACCAAACCGGGCGCACGAAAGTGCTTAGTTAATGGTTTTACGAACTGAAACGGAAACGTGTATGGTGACCGACTTCTCTCTCTCTGCCAACTTCACAGTATATACATTTTGTAACCATCAGACGAGATTTTATCAGTCTATTACCGTGCTTCGTCCATACTGCTTCGCGTTGATGAGAAAAACACGCACACTGTGTCGAAGGTACAAACCCCAACCACTGCCGCGTCTGCGCGACAAAATCAACCATTCGACTACGTCCTTTTTTTTACTGCAGTACCGTTTTACATGTATCAGCACGAAACATTTATAACCAATGATGTAGTGATTTTTTTTGTGTGTAGACCAACACTCGTCTGGTCCTTCCAAAATTCTCCGAACGCCAGTTGTGGATTTTATTGTCCTGTTTTTGGCCACTATCGTATTTCAATCGACTGATCAACTGAACCTGTTATGTTTCGATTTGGGGATTCTGTTCTGCCGATTGAGCCGAAATCAAATCATTCTATTTTTCGGGCTGAACTGCCGGAGGCTCATTCACCATCCGCCTGTTCAGTCCGATTGTCACCTCACACTCTATTCCCCTTGCCCGTTTCACGAAATCGAATTTAGCAGTCAGAGACACTCTCTAAACGATCGTAAAATAAAAAAATAAAAAAAACGATCTCCTGAAGCGGTTGTAAATTTTGTTCAAATTGCAATCGATACAACCAAGCAAACATTACATGGAATCCGGAAATTGGCTGTTCATCACTGACCGAAATTGTGTTGGACCGGAAAAATAATTGTCCGCTGCGCACATCGAATTCCTCGGTCGAGTAATTTTGTCTAATAAAATGTAATGCCAATTGGTTAGGTCATGATAATGTGACCTCATCTACCTTTTGACTGATGGAAGGCTATGAGTACTTAACTGTAATAAGAACGCCAAGTGGTAGACGAACTCGTTTTCTGGGTTTCACAGTCATGCTAACACAGCAAAATTTATCTAACGGAATACACATGGTTAATTATGAGAACAATAATAACAACTGTAACCCGGTGTGATGATAGTCTTGTTTAAATGCGCCTCACAATTACGAGTTCATGTTTATTGCTCAATGACAATATAAACAGTCTGTTTAGTTACCCTTTGTTCAACTAGGTATTATGCTTGCATTTAAACTCGGTAGATCCTGAGTTTGTACCTTCATTCGCTCGATCGTTTCACACCCCTGGATGAAAACATTCATATTTTTTAGTACCGTGACAAGTTGCTGTGACTTTTTAACATGTATATTTATCGGCATGTTTACGGGCACTGTAAACGATCAGTTCATCTTTTCCGTCTATGTTCGATGTTTTTCTTTTCCTTCGGTATAAGAGTGAGTGCAATATTTGTGGTACTTATTGTGAAGTTTGTAAATGTCATTTCATATTAGTCCGTGATGCGTGTGTATGTTTGTGCACACTTAGGCTTTCTATTCTGTGTGAACCATAGTGGTTCACTCCCAATACACCACCCCCATCTGACCGGCACTTTCTTACATGTATTGTGAGCTTGGTAGCTATCAGGGCATTCCGGTGCTCTGTATCTTGCTTTATGATGTTAATCTATGTTGCTTGTATTGGTAGTTCAATTCATTCCATCTTTTGGTCAATTTAACCCAGTTTTTCAATGTATCTACTCACATCCCATCCAATCAGTGTATCGAGTGAACGGTTACAGTTTGCCTCGAACCCCATCCTCATCCTGTTCGCTTGCATCCGATATGAGTCCAACTCCGCTGTCCGAGAATGAGACCACATTGAACGATCTCGGTGGCCTGACTAGTCCCCGAGATCCACGAGAGAGTTGGTTAGACCCAGGAGGCGAGAATGAGGACTCGTGGTCACTCTCCTCCCGCGAACCTGCCCCGTCCAAATTGGTAAGTCCGGTTTGCCTAAAAAACTGTTGTCTGGGAGTGTCTACCACCAGTCTAGTCGGATATGATGCGATCGGATCACTGTTTAGGCATAACAGATATTAGTTCAACATAATTTTTTTTTCGTGCTCAAGGTATGTTCCGTGAGGTAAATGCAACCTCATTAATTTGGCCTAACATCGACCCAGCGTCGCTAGGCTGGATCTAAACGCCGCCAAAATTTCATTACTATCCCTTTTCAACTTCAAATGAAACCCACCAATTGACCATGCACTTTCGTGCGCCAGTTTTAGTTGCTGTTTTTTGGTGCTCCATTCGGATAAAACAGCAGAATGAAGATTGGAATGTTGAAAACAAATTCATGCACAAGATGGAGAATTTATATAGACTGATGTTAGGGGAATAGTGAGTAAATGTACGAGCGCCACTGAAGTAAAAAGATATATTCACATGAAAACAAGTTGAATCATTCTGGAACAGTGTCGGTCAGGGCAACCCAGAACTGCCGTTACCCATGTGGTCATCAGATGAAGAAAAGATCTGAGCTGAACAGAAAAATAAATAAAAAAAATCACGAACGAACTATGAAAATAGATTCAAATAAAGAGTAGGTGCACAAAAGCCACCCAGTCTTAACACGGTACGTCTGTAACTAGTCGATATTGTATCCGTTACACCACCACTAATCCAGTAACCCGTAAACAGCGACAATTTCCCGTGAAAGGGGTTCCGCCAAATCCGTTTTTGCATTGATTCTCCGGGCGTTTTCGGAGAAAATTAGTTTTTGCCAAACACAAATGGTAAAACAATCCAAATCTGCTGACCAGGTAAAACTTGGATTCCTTGGGTGTTTAATCGGTCGGACGTGTGCATTATTTTTACAACTGCGGTAGGTTTTTTGGACTGTAATGGTTTGAGACATTTCCGTGATAATCATCTGCTTGGGGAAATTTGATCAATCTGGTAGAGTAGTTGGTTAAGCAGTTCCGTTTTTTGCTGAGTGATGTGGATGGGGTTGTCGTAACTTTGCATCCATGCAAATGTTCAGTTCCCGCGCGCCTCTGAACGCAGTCTATTGGGGGTGCAGATTTTATGGATGCGGATGAAAATTCTTGAATATTGCATAGCTCTCTATCAGTACAGCTGTTAGGTACCGACATTGCGTGTTATGACTAGGAATCGTTGTCTATAGTGCAGCGGCAATTACTCAGCCTTCGTAGAAATTTTCAACTTCTTTGATATCGAGTGAATACACAGAACCCAATGATTCCAGAGATGATTCATTTTCTTCAAGTGGCCTCATAAGTTCCTCCCCAAGATGGCACTGTAATGTCCATTAGTCCCCCATGATTTCACCTGACTAATTGTTTGCGTAACTAGAGAGTGCGTAGTTTATACTGACTTAGCCTTTATCTATTTGAATCGCTAACTACAAAACTGAATGTATCAATGTTGTATAGATGTTGTATAGATCCAGTCATGTCTGAAAGGTCAACGGGTAGAGGCCAGACGAAGACCAGTCTCACAAGGCCAGCTGCTTGGGCACATCCTGGCCTCCTTCCTCTATCCACACCCGCCCCTTGAGAGGCCACTCCAGTAAATAAACACGGTGAGGGGCAGTTTACCGGTCAAAAAAACCCCGTCAGATG